TGTGTGTGTGTGTGTGTGTGTGTGTGTGTGTGTGTGTGTGTGTGTGTTCTTAGGATTTATCACAGCATATGGGACTGACTGGTGGTCACGGTGGCATATGTTATAGGCCCCTTTGCCGATTTCACTCTGCGTGACTGTGTGTGTCTGTCTGCGTGACTGTGTGTGTGCGTGTGTCTGCAAACGTGTGTGTGTGTTGATGTGTTCCTTTTTATACAGTGTATTAATTTTTTTTTTTCCTTCTAGTGTGTGTGTGTGTGTGTGTTATCCTGTCAGCAGGGATGTCAGACCCCCGTCGCGCCTCGTTGGGGGACTTTAACACTTTCACTGCTGGATTTCCGCCATCCTAATATACCTCCGTCTGACAGCCCATATGTCACTCCTCTACTCCTTTTTGTTTCTCTCTCTTCTCCTCTCTTCCCTTCTCTCCTCTCCTCAGTAAGAGAAGGAAAGGTTGAATACCCCTCATCTTTGGTTTTTAATTCATGCTGTGTGGTTGAGTTTACTGTGCTTGCGTGTGCATGCGTGTCTGCACAAATATTGAATTTGTGTTTGTGAAGTCTTCCCGTGACTTTCATTATGTGTATTCTTTTGAGAATTCCTTTTTTCAATTTATGAATCCAATGCGTTGGTTAACTGGTTGTTTTTTCTGTCTCAGGTTTTGTGTGACCCAAAACTGTGCCAGAGGATGTTCAAAGTGCTCTTACCTACAAAAATGAAAGCAGACTTGAACACGCACACAAATATATACACTCAAAGTGGGTAGTTCAAAAAAATCTTTTTCTTCACTGTTCAGAGTAGTCGGTTCTGTTAGAAACATGAGATCAGTGTGACAAGTTACCCTCTTGTGTATGCACACACAATGCACACACACTCCCACTAAATAGCTGATGATGGAAGGCTCCCTAAGAAAGCTGTAATGGCTTTTGATTTAAAATATACTTGTGTGTGTGTGTATGTGTGTGGGAACCCACCCATTAAAATGAGTGTAATAATAAAATAATTGCATGTCTTCCCACTTTAAGTTCCACTTCCTCCTGGGAACCAATTAAAGCCCAATAAAGAACCTGGCAGAGAGAGAGAGAGAGAGAGACAAAAAGAGGGAACAAGTGTCAAGAAAAACAAGAGAGCGGGAAGGAGTAGAAGAAGGGCAGAGAGCAGTTGGGAGGAAGCAAACAAGATGGATGGATGTAGTCTATGATACAGAGAGGGAACGAAACAGGGAGGTAGAGTTGAAACAATTGGAAGAGAGATGAATAGAACGTGTCAGAAATAGTAGATGATTGGAAGGTAAAAAGAGACAAATGGATGGTGCGCCAGAGGAAGAGAGAGAGAGTGTGTGTGTGTGTGTGTGTGTGTGTGTGTGTGTGTGTGTGTGTGTTCATGTTCTGCAACAATGTAGAACTCCTATATAGGTCAAAGGAGGTGGAGCAGGGCACTAACACTGCCAGTTTGTGTTGTCGTAATGCAAGATTGATACCAATACTAAGTTTAGTAATGTCTCAGGCGGGTGGTCACTGTGATGCTTTACGTCGTTATACAGGCTGATAAGCAAACTATAACATTTGTACCGGATTTCTTTAGAAGTAGATTGTTATAACGTCAGCTTTATTCAACTTTAAATGACATTTTTTGCCACTACGGTACAGAATAACCCCACAGCCAACATATAATTACCGTATTAGTGCGAAAATTACTCGTTATTTAGTTATTAGATTAATAATTTATGTCATTTATTGAACTAATTTGCCAAACATTTGCTGGTTACAGCCTTTAAAATGTGATAACAATTTTTTTTTCATCCATTGATTAAAGGGTCGGTGGTTGTAAATCCAAAACAATCAGCTAAAAGAGGCCAAAAAGCTTTGTAACGGTGTAGAGTTCTCTGTGAGTGACATGCTTCATTTCAGACTATCCACCAACTAAATCTCTTCTCTCTGTGTCTGTGTTTCTCTCTCATCTCTCGGCTCAGGCGGCACTGACATAGTGTCCTGTTTCATGGGTCAGAACCCAACAGTTCCAGTGTATCGGGGTGAGATCCAAACAAGAAATCTCGGCATTGCTGTGGAAGCCTGGGGCCTTGATGGTAAGAGACTATTGTGTGTGTGTGTGTGTGTGTGTGTGTGTGTGTGTGTGTGTGTGTGTTGCTTATAAATGGAATACTGTTGCTTTTTCTCTCCATTCAGCCAAAAGTCTTATCAAGAGATGTATTGACAACAAATTGCAGGGTTCATGTAGAGGTTGTAAGGCAGTTGCTAGTTTGAGGAGGGACTGGAAAATGAATTAATCGCAAGCCAATTTACAAACTGCTGAGATGCCCTTGAGCAAACTTCCCATCTGCTTCTTGATCTGCTTGGTTGCCAACAGAACGAGACTGTAGCAATTGCTTGGTTGCTCCCATATGTCGATGTACCTGTACGCATTAATTCAAAGCTAGCCATTGCTCAAGAGATTAATTAGTGAACTTTCCCTGGGTAAATACAGGTAACAACCTCAGGGAAATAAAAAAAAAATGTACTTTAACAATCCAAATGAAAATGAGAGATTTTTTTTATCTTGCTGGGAGTTTTCAAAGCGCGCTATGTTTTTCTTATTGATTTTAGTCCCTTGTTCCCCAGCTACCGATCCCAGCTGCAGGCTGTACTGGCGCGTCTCCACCACCTCAAAGGAGAGTGGATTGAGAGATAATTTAAAGGCAGTTTTGTTAGGAAGAGTTTGGGATTATTTTAGTCGCTCTCTAAGCCTCTAACACCTTCCCGAGGGAGGAGGTGAGGTCTGTGTGAAACCACACAATAAAGTGTATCAACTCCTCTGAGTGTGGGATACATTACCAGGTGATTTTCTTCTTTTTTTTTTTTAAATCTGAGAGTGTGTGTGTGTGTGTGTGTGTGTGTGAGTGTGAGTGTGTGTGTGTGAGTGAGTGTGTTTTCGAAGCCTCTAACTTTATTTTTTGTTCTTGTGAAATGTGTGTGTGGACAGGTAAGCCCGTATGGGGAGAGAGCGGGGAGCTTGTTTGCTTGAAACCAATCCCCTGCCAGCCAACACGCTTCTGGAACGACGAGAACGGGAGCAAATACCACAAAGCGTACTTCTCTACATATCCTGGTAAGCACAGAAACATCTTATGGAAATAAAAACTTACATACTGTATACATATATACAAAGAACCTAGAACATATTGTATATTTTTATACTGAATACAATTCTTGACTTTTTTTCCTCATCAGCTGTTTTTGTTTTTTCCTTGCATGTTTTTTATTGTGCTTTAATGGTTTTACATTTGATTTTAACGTGTGTTTTTCTATTACCACGTTCTTTTTCTCTAGGGGTGTGGGCTCACGGAGATTACTGCAAAATCAACCCAAAGACGGGAGGCATTGTGATGCTGGGCAGAAGGTCAGCGATTAACGGTTCTACTCGGAGGAGAGCTACTGAATTATGACCTGTATTGGCTCTTAAAGGTGCAGTGTGTAGCATTTAGGGGGATCTACTGGCAGAAATGGAAAACAATATTAAGTGTGTTTTTGTTGTGTTTTTGTTACCTGAGAATGAATTTATATCGACATAGGGAGCGGGTCCTCTTCACAGAGCTGGCTGCCATGTTTCTACAGTAGCCTGGAACGGACAAACAAAACTCTGGACCTAGATAGAGCCATTCGCGTTATTGTGTTTTTGCGTCGGCCACCATAGTTCTCCTACACACTTTGGCACACAGGAGACGTTTCAGTTGGTTGCAATCTGAAACCTTACTGCTGGATGCCACCAAATCCTACACACTTGACCTTTAAGCTCCTTTATGGCAAATTGTAAATTGCTTTATGTCAAAAAACACCAAAAGTGGATTCAATTATTTCTGGGTAAATGGAGATAAACTAAAAATACATGGAACTATTCATGAAAGGGAACCAAACATATACTGTAGTTTTCATATTGCATATGTATAAAGAAAGAGAGAATCTCGCGCATACAGAAACTGAAATTGTCTCTGTATGCTGGTAGATTTTTTTATTTTCTCCATGTGTGGCAACACAGCTTCTCAATGACAGAAGCTAGAGTTTTGGATCTTGAACTTGTGTTTGTTCTGCAGTGATGGCACATTGAACCCCAATGGAGTCCGATTTGGCAGCTCAGAGATCTACAACATCGGTGAGTCTTGAACGCTACAGCTGGAGGTGCAGGCTGTGGGTGTAAGAAAGGATGAAAGGAAATGGAAAGCAATAGCATTTTAGACATGGTCCTCTTTATGTTGGTGGAAAGAATATTCCAAGTGTGTTCACTTGTCACCATTTGTTCAGCCAACAGAATGTAGTAAAAGCACAATTTCTTCTTACTGTTGACAAAAATGAATATAGCGTGCATGTGCTTAGTTTGGAAGTTGTAAGTGGTGTCCATCTTTTCCTCCTCTTTGCTCCCTCACTCCCTTCACCTCTTCTCTCTTGCCTCTCATTTGCTCTCCTCGTTTCTCTCCCTGTCCTCTACTCTGCCCTTTCCGTTCCTCTCCTCTTTGCAGTGGAGGCATTCGAGGAGGTGACAGACAGTCTTTGCGTTCCTCAGTACAATGCCGATGGAGAAGAGCGCGTTATTTTGTTCTTAAAGATGGCACCTGGTAGGCCCTTCTGTCCGGAGTTGGTGGCGAAGATAAAAGGAGCCATTAGAAAAGCTCTGTCTGCCAAACACATCCCATCTCTGCTGATGGAGACCAGAGACATTCCAGTAAGAGAAATCTGAATATCAATCAGACATGAATACACCTGTCAGATTATCCTGCCACAATGGTTACAACTGTGAAAGTCAGCTCTGGCTTGACAGACAGCCCTTTTCTTCCTCCCTCTGCAGTACACCATCAGCGGTAAGAAGGTGGAGGTGGCTGTGAAACAGGTGATTGCTGGACGGGAAGTGGCGCAAAGAGGAGCTTTCTCCAACCCTGATTCGCTGGAGCTCTACAAGAACATTCCTGAACTGCAAAACTATTAGAGAGGAGGCTTCACTGAGCTGGAGAGGACCTGCAAAAGAGAACCAGCTGACAAGACTTCAGCTTAGTTTTTAATGGACTTAATTCAGATTTACAGGAACAGGGAGATATGCACTGGGATAGTTTACAGAGGCACTTTCAGCTTTGTACGTGGCATAAAAACATCAAAATCAAACAAGAAATGGTACAAATAGTATGTAAAAATGAGCGCTGTACTGCTCCATTGGCTAGCTTTCAATCAAGTGATTAAGCAGCTGCTACCAAGTTGTTCAAGTAAATGTGGGGTGATGTATTCAGCTTTGGATATAATATGATGTGGACAGCACCACTTGTTTATAAGCTCATGCTCTGAAGCCACCAATAATAGGGAAGTGTAATTTATCGTCGCTTTGCTCTGGCCTCACATTGTGCTGTCAGCCAGTGAAGAACCATATCTCTCTGTGTCCCCGGCGTTAACCCCAGTGATGGTTCTGAGTGGGTCCCAGACTGAAAACACATTGAAGTGTGCAGATCAACACACACACACACACACACACACCTGGGATTAACAACTCAGCTCATATCACCATATCATTGCTATGTGGTGCATATTGCTTTATCAAATGTATGTATATATGAATATATATATTTTGGACTGTGAAATTCAGATAACATTATAATTATGCTTTTGAAGATAGTGACCCAAACCTGTTGACCAAAGTGAGTCTCAGCTTTAGAGGGTCGTAACACGTCAGGAGATGTAGTTTAAATCAATAAACTAGAGGTTTCCAGATAAAACTTACTGAACTTTTCCCCAACCTTTATAAAGTTATTGATCTCTGAGGTATTACATGTGCAAATCCTATCAATGATTTGACTTTGTAACAATTGTTTTATTCCGCCCAAAACGTAAAGGCATGTATTGATGAAGCCAAGGTCAAGTGCGATCTGAAAGTGAGCAAAGGTTTATTTCACCACAAAAGCCTCTATTTATTCGTAGCGTATTGATGTTCCATGTTTGTCATAACTAAGAAAAAGGTGTTTTCCTAATAACTACAGTGTACATGGGGAATCTGAATTGTTTATACGAAAAGTCCTCATGCTGTGTGGCAAAGCCTAAAAGTGAATTCATGCTATTAAAGGTGAACTGCAGTGGTTTTGGGTACTAGTAGCACGACTGAGCGTACGATAACAAAAATCACTTGGGTTCCCATTTCCTGTTGGGAGCATTTGATCTTTGGAGGAAGCATTTTGTACTCCTACAGAGGTAACATTTCTAATTTCTTTTTTTTTTTATTATTTGACTTTTAATTCAGTCTTGTTGCTGGATTATTTGAAACATATTTAAAGGTACGGATTTAAATAAATCGACTGGAAAAGTCTGCAGTTTCTTTAATGTCATATTCACTGATTTAATGAATGTCCTCTTTAAAGGCACCCTGTGGTCTTTTTGGCCACTTGCAGCTCTGTGATGCAGTGTTTTGATGATTGGGTCCCTGTTAAGTTTTGTATCTTTTGCATGAGTGTGCAGGTGACGGGATACATATTCCTTCCAATGGTGTCACACTGCTCCACTGATTGGCAGGTGGCAGTAATGTAAATCAGCTTTTCTAATGCTGACATTTTTTTTTTATTGGCCTCAAGGATGCAGAAGACGAATATAAAGTCCCAAAGATGCATAGGCTCTTTCTTATAGAGACGGGGGTCATACTGTTCACTTAGCACTTTAGTACAGTCTACTGTATGTGGTCATAATGACATCTGGGTAAAATGGCAGATCTACCGTTTCGTTCTGAAGTATGCATGCAGGTTAGGCAGTTCTTCTTGTGAGAGTTTGCAAACATGATGCTGGGTGTGTCACATGTAAATAACTTAATTGTACTTGGTTGTTTCATGTCTGCCTTTAGGAAATCTATAATGTAATTTGTACTTATTTTGGTGTTGCGATATAAAGTGTATTGAATCCGATGTGACGGTGTCATTCTACAGTCGATTATTTGCTCTTTTTCACAACATCAGGACAATGGTCATTGACAGTCATGAATAGATGTGAACTCTTCTTGTTTGCACACCGTGGCTATGTTCAGTCAGAGTTGTTTTAGGGGAATATTTGCATAAGACACCACTGAAGTGTATTAAGGGAGATTTTGTTGCGTGCATGGATGCGTTTCCTGGTTGCCTACTGTCAGCTATACCCAATGAAGCCAGTCTGAGAGCAAAAGCTCAAACAAACAATTTTGTGTTCCAAAACTCACGCGATATGAGTCCTCATTGTTTTCTTAAGATGAGCTGGAAGACCCTTTATCCCATGCTTCCAGCACACATATAAGGTGTACACGGGAGACAACGTCAACATTTATGAGCTTAACTGAAATATTTACTTCAAAAAAACGTCTCCAAAACTAACCATTAACATAGTGTCACTAAATCATGTGTTTGAGAAATTGTGTGTGTGTGTGTGTGTGTGTGTTTCTGTGTCTGTCTGTCATTTTGACAGACATCTACTTTGAGAATAAACTTGGCAGTTTTAAAGCTCCCTGTAACCTTTATAAGTGTGAACGCTCAGACCTGACAGTCAGACAAACTTCAAAACGTAACCGTGAGGAAAATATTAAAATAGAAAAAGGAAGACTTGGTTAAGGTCCAGTTCCTCAGTGTAGAATGTCTCACTAATCTAGTGTGTGCAAGTGTTTTATTTATTCCTACCTTCAGTCATTCAAACATGAGAAAATGTTTTGTTGGCACGCTGTCAGTTTGCAGAAGCGAAAGGAGGGCGAGGAGAGAGAGAGAGCGGAGAGCTGCAGAAATTAGCAGTGTGGGTTGAATGTAGGAATGTTGTCAAATGAAAAGCTGACGTGTTTACCAAATTCACAAATAATAACCATCTGATGAACATGAATGGTAAGTGCCGCGCAGTCCCCCAGAGAGGCTGTCTGTTGTTGTATGATTCATCCCAGTAGTCTCATAACAGAGCACATCACAAAATAGAAAATGACTTTGAAAAGGTCTTGATTGTACACTCTGTACTTACAGGGGTTGACGGTTAATTCACTCTTGGTGCAATCAATTCAAAATGTAAATTGAAACGGCACAGACTAATGATGGACTGTTTATTCTCAGTTATTATGTTATAAACTGACCTGTGGTGTTTATGTTCGTGTTTTTCTTCCATACTGAGGAAAATGAAATGCATAAACCGACTGGATTGGAAGGTGATTGACTGTGACCACAGGTGAATTATGTAGAAAGTACCAGTTAGCGACTTCATTAGCAATTTGAAACACGGCGCCATTACAAGCATGCTAGTTTGGATGGATTACACACACCCTCAATTATTGTTTCGATCAATCGATTATTAATTCAACCTATAAAATGTGTGAAAAATGGCCATCACAATTCCCCAAAGTGCAAGTTGATGTCTTCAAATGTTCAATGACATGTATCGGGGAGATTACATTGACTTTTTTTGGTTCACAATTATTTCATCGGGTTCCTCAAGAAAATGTCTTACAGTAGGTTCATCCACGGCTATAAGATGAAGATTTCCAAAAACATCGGTTATATCCCATTTCGAGAGTGTAAATCATATACAAATATATCATGGCTCACTTTGAGCTCTGGTGGATTCAGCTCCTCCTGTCTCACAAGTTGGAAACCCTCCGACGTCCTAGATGTGTAGAATGTGTTACCGTTGCTCACCCCTCCCTGTCCCGCCCAGAGGAGACTTGTTATTTCGAAATTGCTTCCCAAAGAGACTTTCTCCTGAAAGGTTGATCACAACATTAATGAAGAGTTCAGTTCCATTATTTTACTGATAAACACATAATGAGATACAACAATCCCAAGAAGTGATACCCTTGAGGGTCATTTTTCTCCAATGCCAAAGCGAAGGATGCCCTGTCACAGTTCAACACTAATCTGTAAACATGTTAAGAGCACATTGCTATCAACACCTGAAAACCTCCAACCTTCTTTTAGTTTCATTTAGAAAGACATTTCAGGGCATCTGAACAATAACTTGTTCTCCCTGTCACCTGACAGTGGCGGAGAAAAGTATTCGATTTAAGTACAAAACATCAATGTATCCCCATAAGGGCTCTCAAGCGAACACTGTCAGACTTCCTGATGCTTCACTACAGTTTTCAAGAGTTTATATTCAGCTCTCTGAAGATGCGACGGGTGGAGGAAGCTTGCATCACTTTTAGTTATTCTAGTTGCATGTGGAACAGTGTTATTATTCTGGGGTTTCTGCAGTTGTTCTCTGTCACTTTTAGCACCACCCACTCCACGCTTGTTGTCGTGTTTTGTGCAAATTACCAATTCCTAATGCTCTGGTATAAAATAAGTCACATTTCAACTTGCTTGCCTGTATGAAAACCTCCCAGAGAACTGAAAAAGTCTGCATCAGTCTGACCTACTTCCCCAACTGAATCAACCTTCAGCAATTTGTTCCATTAAATAAAAGATGTTCAGTGCATGATTTAAAGTAAACTCGTAACTGCCTCTTTAGCTCAGGTCTTCATGATGATTCTTATCACCTCTGGCTTTAGGTATCATTTAGAAATGATACTCAAATAAATCCCAAATTAATTTAAATTGTGTTCTCCTTTTTGTTTTTTCAAGAAATACTTCGGTTGAGTCACAACTCTGCACTTTTAAGACAGAAGAAAAATTGCACATGGAGACAGCACCATCTGATTCTCCATCTCTGTGTTTCAGTTTGCTTTCCTCAAACTGCCGCAGAGAGAGAGAGAGAGAGAGAGAGAGAGAGAGAGCGAGAGAGAGAGAGATGACGGGAGTTGGCGACAAGGAAGGGAAGAGGGAGAATCAGGAGAAATTGCAAAAGAGAAAAAAAGCTGAGCGGTGTAGCATGAATAAATCTGTGATATTAACAACAATCCATTTTCTTTGTATCTCCACATGAAAATCTCTCTTTTGATGTTGATCTGCATTTGATCAAAACACAAAAAATGGTGCATTTCTGTCTTTAACAAGATGTATTTACTTCATACTAGTCACTCCTCTGAGGTACAGCCACACAACAAACAATGATTGTGTTTTATTTATTCTGTTCCAATATAATAGTGAAGTAGGAGGAGCCATGGGAAGTACACCATGTGTGTTGTGGGTTGGGTTGGACTACATCAGTCCTGACTTCATCACTGAGGCACGAGCCAGTTAATTAATTCATTCAAATAAGGCCTCTGACTAAGTGACTACGAAGTTAATCCTTGGACCACCAATGGATTATTAAGTATGTCACTGAGTGACTAACATTGTCAACATGGAGAAAGTAACTCAATTAACATCATAAGCATCAGCAGCATGAGTACTTTGAAGGACTAGTCTACTCTAGCAACACTTTTTGAAGCAGTTTTAATTCATTTTATTTTATTTAATATTTTTTACATACAACATTAAAGCAGTTTATAAAACGACTAGTCTTGTTTGATCTTCTTAATTATATGATGCAAAAGCTGCCTTATTTTCAAGTAGATCAAGCAGGATATTTTTATCGGTGTAACAAACAATTTTAACGAGAGGGGAAGCAAGATGGCGCAGCTGAGAAGACAAAAAGGCGAACCAAATAAAGAGAAGGGAGAGAAATGAGAACGAGATGAATCATATTTGAAGTCACAAATATAAGCCATATGGGCTGAACGCCATGAGCATTTTGATTTTTCTCCAATTCCACCCGTCAATCTCGTCCGTCTTTTTGTGAGGGATTGTTCAGCTGTAGGTGGCTCCCTGCTTTGTCGAGACAACCGATGTTCACTCTTTCACAGTCACAGCTTGATCTGTGTTATTTGAGTCTGTGTGTGTGTGTGTGTTCGTGTGTGTGTGTGTGTGTGTGTGTGTGTTTGTAGCAAGTCTCCTTCCTGGCTTCTGAAGACATCGTTGACTTTCTAAGTGTGTCAGTTTAACTCCCTGAAAAATCCTGGCTCTCACAAGTAACAGCAGAATCTCAGTGTGAGTGTAAAGTGACAGACTTATTGGTTCAAATGTGTTGGAGAAGGCCGCCGTACAGTTTTTTTTCTCACACATTGGGATTAGCTAATGAAAATAAAAATTGTTCATAGGTGGGATGCATTTTGGCAGTTTTACTAGCCAAAACACCTTCTCTCTTTTCAAATCAGTTTGTGTGTGTGTGTGTGTGTGTGTGTGTGTGTATCATAATATCTTATTTTGTTATATTCCCACAAAGATGCAAGTTCTGTCTACTGTAGGAAACAAAAAAAATTTACTTTTGACAACTAATTTTCAATGTTTGAGCTGCTTTCCGCTACTTTGATTAGAAGTTATTTCTCCTGATCCATGTGTTAAAGTTAACTTCACAAGGCTGTTAGATGTAGACTACAGTACAATCAAAATATATAACTGTGTCTGTAAGCACCTCACCAGCTGTTTTGAGTATATTTCACACCTGTAATTTTAGCACAATAATATGGTGCCATTCCAGTTTTGTCAAACTCAGATCAAATGGCTTCCGAGATTTCACATTTGATTGACAGCCGGATACAGCTGGATCCATCCAAGGGATACAGATAGAAACAGACAGACAGAGGGATGGATGAATGAATGGCATGGGAAAAGATAGACACGGGAGTGGTAGGGAAGTAGAGAAGGCACTGTTTCTAGAAGAAACTTTGAAAGTGTATAGCTTTCTAAGCTGCCAGTTACTTCAGAATGGAAGAACTACAGCAAAGCTACAGTTCCCTGGAGAGAAATATAGTTTTGTTAACAAAAGTTATCCAGAAAGAGTGGTGCACCGTCTTAAAAATCACAGAAATTTGCAACGTCATAATATAAAAAATAACAATCACTGCAATAGGAGGGTTCAGGATGGAACGTGCCCTTTACACTCCAAAATATGTCAACAATAACCTGAACACAAAACAACAATAACAGCAAAAAACACTGACGACGTCAGCTGTTCACATTTCCTTATGGTTTAACCACAACCACAA